GCTGCAATATAATGAAAACAAGTGGCTCAACTTTACATCGATGCAATGTTTCCCTTGAGATTGGTTCAGAAACTGCCACTGCTGAAATTCCTATTTCACCAACAGTGGTGACACCCGTGTGTACACTCACACCCCCTATGTTGGTTCCTGCACAGATACCGTTACACACTAGGATTGTGTCACATACATGAATAGAATCCCTCTTCTCCATTAAAAACCCAACAGTGTGGGCCCACGCTTGAAAACACAGAATTTCCCAATGGACGGAATCTCAGTTGACTGCATGAAAGGACAAGGTCCCTCATCTGAGAGGTGGGACAAACACAGCCCGACTCTGCTTCCTGTGTCCACCCTGGTACTGGTAGTATGCAAGAGGTTGTGTTGCTCACCCAGGACAAACTCCCAGATTCCTTCCAGTGTTCTTGGCTGTTACCTTCTTGACTAACCCAGTCAACCAATCTATGATGCCAGCTTCTGGCTGTCTGTATTGAGAGTGGACCTGGACGTCAGACGCACACTGTTACATCTGATTGAGTGGCCTAGCCCTTAATAGTTTGCTGACTGGAGGTTACCCAGTAAGCCTCATCTCCATGTTACAGCTGAACCAAAGTACTACTTGGTCCTGTCCAGCATTCTGTATTGGATCAGCTGCTAGTTAATGCCCATGAACAGAAGCTGTTAAATGCAAGATAAGGTATTCCTCTTATTCGGTGGTTAGATCCAGATTAAAGCTGGATTAGTGGCATTGGAAGAACTGGATATTTCTGCCTGCTCCCTGTAAATACTAAACAGAGTGGGAGATTGAGCTGCGGTGTGTGGAGAGTATCCCTCCAAAATTGACAGAGAGCTCTTTATATCAAGAAATGTAAGAGCTATGTTGGATCAGACCAATGGTGGTCCAACGTTGTGTTCACACAGTGGCCTGCCAGCTGCTCATTAGGATCCCTCAAGCAGGACGCAAGTGCAACAGCACTCTTCCATCCGGGCTCCCCAGCATCTGTCGCACCAAAGCGTACTGCCTCTAGAGCAGCATTCAGCCATCAGGACCAGCAGCCAGTGATAGTCTTCTCTTCTGTGAATTTGTCCAGTCCCCTTTTAAAGCTGTCCAAATTGGTGTGGCCCTCACTTCATCGCAGACCAAACTCTAGGTCTTTTTAGTTACTGCAACTGCTACTTGAGGTTGTTTAGTGACCTGAGGTTTCCTTCTCATTCACATTCTCACCAATTTCCTGTCTTCATTACAGAAAGTGACAAATGGAAAATAGAGAATGAAGAAAAGCCAGAAAAAGACAGATGTGAAAAGATGGAAGAGCAGAGAAGGAAAATGGAAGGAAATGAGAAGAGGAGTAGTAAAGACCCTTCTTTCCAGGACAGAAGCTACAACAAAATTGTAGTACAAGAAAATATAGATAAAAATATTAAGTGCTGTGTATGTCAGAAAAAATTCAGATATAAATCAAATCTTCAAGTTCATTTCAAAATCCACACAGGAGAGAAACCATATAAATGCCTGGAATGTGGGAAGAGCTTCAGTTCAAGAGGAAGTGTTGCATACCATCGAAGAACTCACACAGGGGAAAAGCCATATAAATGCTTGGAGTGTGGGAAGGGCTTCAGTCTGAGCACAAGTCTGATCTCTCACCAGAGAATTCACACAGGGGAGAAACCATATAAGTGCCTGGACTGTGGAAAAAGCTTTCGTGTGAGCACAAGCCTCACTTCTCATCAAAGAATTCACACAGGGGAGAAACCATATAAGTGCTTGGAATGTGGAAAAAGATTTTGTGTGAGCATACACCTTACTTACCATCAAAGAACTCACACTGGGGAGAAGCCCTACAGATGCTTGGAATGTGGAATTAGCTTCAGTTTGAGCACAAATCTCATGTACCACCAGAGAACTCATACTGGAGAAAAACCTTATAAATGCTTTGAATGTGAAATGAGCTTCCATCGAAGTTCTGACCTTGCTTCTCATCAAAGAATCCACACAGGGGAGAAACCATATAAATGCTTGGAGTGTGGAAAGAGCTTCAGTCAGAATGCACATCTTATTTCACATGAAAGAATTCACTCAGGGGAGAAGCCCTACAGATGCTTGGAATGTGGGAAAAGCTTCAGTATGAGCACAAACCTCATGTACCACCAGAGAGCTCACACAGCAGAGAAGCCATATAAATGCATGGAATGTGGAAAGAACTTCAAAACAAATGCAAACCTTAATAAACACCAAATAACCCACACAGGAGAGAAACCCTATAGATGCTTGGAGTGTGGAAAATGTTTCAGTTTGAGCACAAGGCTCACATATCATCAAAAAACTCATACGGGGGAGAAACCATATAAATGCTTGCAGTGTGGGAAGAGCTTCAGCCTGAGCACAAATCTCAGTAAACATGAAAGAATTCACACAGGGGAGAAACCATATAGTTGCTCAGAGTGTGGAAAGAGGTTCAGTTTGAGCACAAACCTCAGTAAACATCAAAGAACTCACACAGGAGAGAAGCCATATAAATGCTTGGATTGTGGAAAAAGTTTCAGTTTGAGCACAAATCTCAGTAAACATCAAAGAACTCACACTGGAGAAAAACCGTATAAATGCTTGGAATGTGGAAAAAGCTATAATTTGAGCACAAGGCTCACATACCATCAAAGGACCCACACAGGAGAGAAACCATATAAATGTTTGGAATGTGGAAAGAGCTACAGTGAGAGCACGAACCTCAGAAAGCATCAAAGAATTCACACAGGAGAGAAACCTTATACATGCTCAGATTGTGGAAAGGGCTTTAGTCAAAAATCTCACCTTTCATCCCACAAAACAATCCACACAGGAGAAAAACCATATAAATGTTCAGAATGTGGGAAGAGCTTCAGTGTGAGCACAAACCTGAGAAAACATCAGAGAACTCACACAGGGGAGAAAGCACTGAATCACATATGGGTCACCCGGGACTCACAGGCCCCGTGCCATCCTTGGCCCCTCTCTGTGTGGCCAGCAGATGCCCCAGTGTGTCCTCCCACCTTTTCCCGTCCACCCAGCTGATCAACCAGCAGCTAGAGGGTGGCAAGCAGTTCTTCCCGTGCTGCTAATAATACCAGGACCGCAGAAAATGGGACCATTGAGAAAATGGAGAAGCTTGAATCTTGCTCCCATCTCAGTGAGGCTGAACAGAAATAGTGATTTTTCTCTCCCCTGTTAGAGCAGGAGAAGAGTGGTTTCAGTTCATTTCATTTATTAACTTTATACCCCACCTCTTACATGGTCCTGCTCCTCCCGCCTTATCTAGTTGGCATCACTGGGCAGAATGAGCCTAGGATCTGCTGCCCTGCCCACGAATGCAGGGCTTGCGGCGTCAGTTCACTGAGGGAGCCGAGCCTTGACATTCAAACACTGAAAGGTCATGGGGGGGGTGCATCTAAGCAGGGCCTGATCCAGCAGACTGCACTGTGTGTTCTCTTTGTGGCCCAAAAAGTTCACTAGCATATGGGGTAAGAGTCAATCACAATTCAACCTTTGGCAAATTTACTGAGAGTTTCATGTCAGCCCGCTTAAGAGATGCACAGTATGACCGCACATGGAACCATGTTGTATAGTGTAGCAATAAGAAGATGCTTAAAGAATGTTCAGCATGTTTCTTACAGTAAGAAATAGTGGACTAGAGACTTCAGGAATTCCAGCCTATGAAAGGAATTGTCATATTCCAATCCTGTGCCCATTTTAACAAATAGCTTTGATTAAATGGTGCCTATTTAAAGCTTTCTTGGGTTGCACCCACTTGGTTTTAAAGGAACTTTAAAGGAATATTGGTTAAGAAGGCCGAGGGCAGGGGACTAAGAAGGGGAAACAAGGCAACAGAAGTGCCCTCCCCATGGCAGTTTCCTCACTGAGAGATGTCAGCTCTTGATACTGGCATGTTTTAGGCATTTACTGGGAATCTCTTTACTTTGGCCTTTCCCCAGTAGTGAGCTCTCATTGAACCAACCTCTAATATAATTTGACGGTGCATTTTTTTGTCTTTCTTTGTAATTGCTCTTGGGGTTTGTTCAGTGAGAAGTGGTATATAAACATTGCTAATAATAGTGATGACAACAACATACTAATGTGGGCGTGACAGAGTTGACTGTCCCGCAGAATGACATGGTCGATCAAGCAGCCGCAGTGAGTCGCCCACCAAGTTTAGTGGTGGCTTGGTTGGAATGTTTGCATTCTTACTCTTTTTATTGCTACATCTGTTCTTGTCTGGCTGTGTCACTTTGTTGAAAAAAACACAATAAAATAGTATCTATATGCTTAATTAGTCAGATGTGATTGTGTTTCAGCATCCCCTTTGGTGTCACAAATGGAGTCTAAAGCAGAGGCCGGTCTGCAAGAGCCAGTGATCCCCACCGACATCAGTGTCAGTATTAAAACAACTACCGTGCAGGCTCCAGGGTGCAAGAGCCATTAGTCTTGGAGGGAAACCTTGTGTCCGTTGGCTTTGCAACCCCCTCATTCTGCATACGTGTCTCCAGAAAGGTCAAAGTAATGCACGACTCCTAGAGCGGGGTTCCAGTCATGAGAGTAATTCTAAATAGGTAGCCAACCATGCAAAGAACCTTCTCTCACTCACCTGCTCAATGAATGACTGAAGCCCATGAGGGGACTGTTAGCATTCCCTTGGCCATGCTGCCTCGGGCTGATGGGAATTGATACCCCAAACATTTGGATGGCACCAGGTAGGGAGAAACTGGCTTTAGGAGGAATCCAGCGCAGGCGTTCTACTGCTAGGGCTGCTTCCATTAATGGAATTGGAAGGGAGGCAATCTCTGCTTCAAATCTGCTCTGAAGGGTTGTAGGACTCTTGGCTAGCACAGCTTTCTGTCAGTTGTATTTATTACATTTATAACCTCCCTGTTTTCCTCTTGCAAGGAACCCGAAGAATCCAGATTCCCAGTCTAGTACCTTAACCACTATACCGCAGTGACATGTTCATGGTAAAATGGTAAAAAAACCCCTCTATGCCCAAAATTGAGAGTGCTGAGCTCATTAATGGGGCACTTCAGATTCCCCTTATGGCAAGATCCAGACATCCTGTTTCCACCAGGGTTGAGTCAGTAAGTTATTCTGCATCATTTGTTATAATTTCCTAAATGTGTTGTGTGAATAGAGGTCACCTGTGCACTTCTCGGGGGGGATTTAAGCCACTACTGGCCTTTGCTGTAACATGAAAGATCCATTAATGGGACTCTGAAAGACTATGTACTCTCGATACCAAACCAGCTGCCTGTGTTAATGCCAAGGCAGAGGCCTTAACTGGCACCTCCGATTGTTGAATGGAAGCCTACCTCCAGGTGGCACCAGAGCCATGTTCAGAACCCCCTCATAAAACCAGAATTAGTGAGTGTTTTGACAAAGGAGGAACAGGAAACTAAGGACAACCAAGCCCACCTGTGACCTGTTTTGCACTTTAATTCCTGAAGGTCTTTGCTAACAGATGCTGCCATGAAAAGGCGGCCATCCTGTTTCAAGGAGGAAACACGCTTTGCTAGGGAAATGACTTGAGCAAGTGCAGTAGGGAGCTTAGGGTGGCGGCATGGAGCCCCGGAAGATCCCAGTTCTAGTCCTCCCTCGGCCATGGCGCTCCCTGGCAGCTCCGAGCCAGTCACAGGCTCCCAGCTCCAGCTATCTCACAGGTTTGGTGTTGTGAGAGGAAAAACTTGTAGGCCGTCTTGGGTCTTACAAGAGGAAATAAAGTGAGGTATAAATGTACTGTAACAACAACAAACAGTAGTTCGCAGCTGACCATGTCATCATAGCTACCTTTGGAGGGGGGAGGGAGGGAGGGAGACACCCTCTGTTCTAAGACCACTTGGCAACTTCTTCTGCAGAGCCGTACAGCTGCAATTTTACACACAGAAACAGGGGCCCTCACACTTTTCCAACAGGAGCCGGGTGCGGTGGGCACGGGGAGGAGGCAGCTTGCTCGCGCACAGAAGGCCGTGTGGCTGGCCGTCCCCGGGCTCGCATAATTAAAAATAGATTTTAAGCATTATACTTACTTTCAATCCTTTTTTAGTTTCTTCGCCTTTGCCATCTTAGTCTTTCTTTTCCGCCCGCCTCTCTTCTGTTTCCCGCTCCGTATATGCGTGCAAGGGGGGGGGGATCTGGTGCATGTGCAGTTGAATTGTTGCAATTGGGGCATGTGCTGGCTCTCTCCCCTCTCTGCCCCATGTCTCAAAGCTTTTGGACTCGCTTGGAGACCATTTTCTCCGGGCAAGTCCAAAACCTCTGAGGCGGGCCGTAGTTTGAGGACCCACGCACAGTAATACAGGTAAGTTCTTGTAAACCAATTATGCATAAAACCCTGTTTTAGTCTTGGTTCATACCAAGCTGGTTGACACACGCACACACATGTGTGCTGCTGCTGCTGCTATGACCTACTTTGATTATGAGCAATGTGTGCTCACATGCACAGGAACTTTACGTGAATTATTCATGCCCAGTCCATGTTAATGCAGGATTTAAACAATCTCGTCTATAATTCAGAGGGCAGGGTGCTCCCACTCTTCATCCGGAGGCTCCCCAGGGACCACTCATGCTTAGGTGAGCACTGTTGAGTAATCTGGCTGCTTCGACAGGCTTGAAGGAGGGGAGCAACTCAAGTGGAATCATGCAGCAGCTGGAGAGGGGCTGAGGAGGAGCCGAGCCGCTCGGGCCAAGTGTGGCTGACAGCACGGGGTGGGACCGAAGTCGAAGCTGGGGAGGAACCACGGCATCTTGGCAGAACATAAGCTTTGCATGCAGCTAAAAGGAACTTCCTCAAAATGGAATTTGTCCCTCAGGTTGAAAGAGGCTTGCTGTGAACTTTAAGCCATTTAACGGTCTTTTTCAGGATGTCTATTGAACACTTTCCCCCAACCTATGAGGCGCCTGCATACTGTTGGACAGCAACACATCACTGCCTGGCCAGAGCTAGGGATAGTGGGATCAGTAGTGTGACCGTGTGTGGAGTCCCTTGGCTGGAGCAGCCGCAGTTTGCATTTTTTATGGGGGAGAAAGTTGGATCCACACCACACGTCCTTTGCCAGTCCCTTCATGCTGTTCACAGAATGTGGGGAGTAGAAATGCAGTCCGAACTTCTGGACGAAGTTGCCCATTGCCACGAGCCACGTTCCTCTCTGGAGGGGGACTGGCAGTGCTTTCTGCCAGCCCTTCTTGACCTGGTGCCCTCTAGAAAATTTGGACAATACCCAGCATTCCTCACCATAAGCCATGTTGACTGCAGCTGGTAGGAGTTCAAACATCTGGAGAAGGCTGTTCTAGACCTTGGCATCTCTCTACTGAAAACCCTCTCGCCTTTGCAATGGATGTTAGGAAAAGCTGTTTGGACTAGAGCCATTGATGGCATCACACAAGACAAGAGCAAGACAAAGGCCGAAATCATTGCTCTGCCTCATGTGGGCCACCGCTTGTTGTGGGTCCCACAGAAGGACCACCACTTGCAGAATGAGCTTGTCTCTCTTTACGAGGGGGTCATGATGTGACCCTCTGGCATGGCAAGATGCAAGAGCAGGCAGCACAATCCTTTTTTGTCAACTGACACACACCGATGACAGATTGGTTGCAGGAAAGCGTCGGTTCTCAGAGATGACTCAAGCCTTTTGCTGCAATCATTCCTTGTCAACACTGCTCCTTTGTCTTTTGCCTTGGCGAAGAAGTGAGGGGTGGGAGAGAAGATAACCAATCACACTGTGTATGGGGGTAGGGGGAGCAGATGCCGGCCGCAGCCATCAGTGGTCAAGAAGGAATGCAGCCAAGCCAACCCCAACTGAATGCCACAACAGGTTTTAGCAGAAGAGTTACAGGCTCAAGGCCCACAAAGCAAGTAAGTGACCGATTGGGATCAAAGGGAACTGCTAAGCCCTCACATGGATTCAGACACTGCATCAGGAGGAGAGCATTTGACTGGCAGGCACTCCTCCTTGCGCTGGGAGCGGAAGTCGCGTCGTCTTACCTGCACCTTACAGAGCAACCTCCAGGGCACCTAAGCCAAGTGCTCCTGTATCGCAGCTCAAGCATCCCCTTCCTACAGGTGCCCACTGCTAGGAGGTGCCCAGGCTGCAGCAGAAGGGAGTGCCTCCTGAGCTCAGGAGAGGGCCGCTCAGTTGCACGATCGCTTCCACATGACTGCCTAATTGTTATCATTTATTCATCAAAACAGTCCTTGCCTTTCGGAGACTGCAGTGAAACCTGCCCATCTAATGGAGCAGGTGCATATCCACACAGCCTTCCTCCTGCAGGGAACAAGGGAGGGTGAGCCCCACCAGGTGCGAAAGCTTTAGGGTGGGGAGGGGGGAAGAGTCCAGTTTTGACAGCTTGTATTCAGCTTGTGTGCAGGATGGGCAAAAATGGGGCAGGTGGAGGTGGGGAAATGGGGAGTCCAGTGGCTCACAGGAGGCTGATCCAGGTGAGGCCCCTGACATGGGGGGAGACAGTTTGGAAAAATTAACCCGGTGCCCCTGCTATGGCCTCATTCGACATGGGAAACTGTGCTTTTTTATTTACATGGGAACAAACAACTGAATCTGTCGTTAGGTGGTGTGGCCCAAACATTCAACTCCAGCCTAGAATAAGTACACCCCCAGAATATTCAGAGATGGAGTCCAGTGCCAACCCTCCATGGCTGAAGCCCCGAATCTCTGAGAGGCCATCTGCTCTGATGTCCAAGGCCATTTACTGAAATTAAAGGACAGAGACTCTGAAGATCTTGCTTGCATTGGATCCCCTGAATTGCTGGCCTTTTCCCCACAGAATCTTTTGCCTGGGTTCCTTCCCCACAAAATTAAAAAATAAACAAAACCAAATACCCTGCTCTCCTTTGTCCATACATCCCTTTTACTAATAAGGATGACCTTAGGAGACAGGGTCCTTTAAAGACACACAAACTTTGGAGTATATAGAAATTTGTGCTTCTTTTTCTGGTGGGCCTTTTGGTATTTAGCACTGCTACTGGTGATATTTTTATCTATACCTCTTTTACTCCTCATTTCCAAGTTACACCACAGATGAAGGGTAATTATGCCAGTCCTAAGAACAATAGCAGAAATATGGGATTAGTACAGCTGCAGAGTCTTTACAATGATTATGTGGACGAGTCCTTGTTAATACAGCCGACTTCCATTTACATTACATACGACTGATCTGTTAGCCTGGAACACTTTTGAGGAAGGGCGGAATCTCGCATTCCACCATAGGCATTTTGCTGGAAACTGGAATTCTTCTCTTCCTCAGTGTTACTCCTCCTTAAGTAAAGATGGAGTTGATAAATTAAACAAAAATAGCACCACAGAAGCATTTGTGAGACAGGGAAGAAGTAGTGGAAGGGAGAGGAAAAACAACCCAAGAGTTGAGAAAAACTGAGGTTCATTCAGCTGTCAGCTCTGGTCAGGAAAGCAAGCAATGCATTAAACAAACTGTGAGTTAGCACTACCTGAAAGTCAAGCGTCTCAGCTCCCCATCTTGGCTTGAATCCTTCTAGCATCGACACAGAAACCCCTGGTCAAGGTATCCAACGTGCATTTTCCTTCTTTTGTGTGCTGCTCGCAGGTTTACTGCCCGAGCATGAACGACGCTCACGGGAGGCTAAATTCGGGACTCCCATCCTCATTTCCGAGCAAGTGTGCATGCGAGTCTCTTGCTTGCACACCCACGCGAGACACGGCCAGGTTGCAAATGATTTATGGGTAAAGGGTGAATTTCCCATCACACCCCCACATACACACACAGTCAAGAAGCAACACACCACTGAGTACAATTCATATATTATCCAGTTTCACATTCTCATAGGATATAGCAACGTATTCTCAAGAATCTTAATACAAGCGAGACAGCCATGGTCCAATATAATACTTAAAGCACTTCCAAATACCAAGCAATAAAATGTCAACAAAAAAATTGCACAATTTCTTGTTACTATGCCTGACTGAATCAGTTACAGAAAAAATGTCTCTCTTCAAGCTTTTAACTAAACATTAAACTTATCTTACAGATTACAATTTCTCTTTAATAATAATTAATTGCACAAAAACCACACAAAATCTTTATGATGCATAAATATTTCCTTATTACACATGGTACAAAAATACTTGTACATCTTTGTTCGGTATTCCCATAAGGATGGCTGATTATTTGGCAAGACTGGATTCTCTCCAATCAGAGGGATGTGGAAAAAAAGGTTAAATATTTTACAGCTGTTCTTTATATAGAAGTCTGACAGAAAAACAAAACACAAAAACAACCCTGACTTGAACTGGAAAAGGGCAAAATGGACAAGAAACCCAGTGCATTGTACTTTTGAGAAGATTTTTCAAATTCTAGTAAAAGCAGAAAACGGAAAGCGAAGCTTGAAATGGTGGCAGAGGGATCAAAACAGAAAGAAGAGGGGAAAGGACGGGGCAGGACGGGGAAAGCATTTTTAGAAGCCTGAGTCTTCACGGAAGCAAGATGAAAAACTTCGGTGATCAATAGCTAGGCCAAGGCCTGTCACTATGGTTACACGAATGCTAGAACAAAAACAAGCTTTGCACACTCACACACCCACCAAGTTAAAGTGTTTTAAATTCATGCCAGAAAACATGCAAAACAGATTGCCTTTTGCTTCCTGCAGCAGGACTGCATAAACAATGCTTCGAAGACAGACCTGGATATTGCACTGCACACAGCCAACGCCAGCAGCCCAGCTGGGAGCAACAGACCACGAGAACGCGGGGCCCCCAAGGCCGCTCTCTCCGGCCAGGCCTCTGCTCAGCGGGAAGAGACCCAGCCCTGGGTAAGCGGAGGGGCGGGAGGCAAGCGGGGGGGGGGGGGGGGGGGACAAAAACCAAGGCGGCCGGGGGGGCCGGGGGGGGGGGGAGGTGGGGCCGCCACGGCCAGTCTCGGGCAGGGAAGCCCACACCTCCATTTGCAAGGGGGACACGTTACTGCAGCTGGGCACCTTGCCGGTAGCCACAGATAGAGTTTGGGGGAAGATTCCCAGCGATCCACAGGCGACTTCATCCCCGGCACATCACTCCATGGAGAGACAAGAAGCGGACATGTGGGCTGAGAGACGGTTCTTGGAGAAAGCAAGAGAGCGTTACTGAAGCGAAGGTCAACATGCCCCAAAGGCGGCCCAGCGACTTCTGCCCGCTCCCTCAGCCCTTCCCCAGCAAGGCTTTGCAGCTGCACGAGAGCTCCCAACACCGGCGCGACCCTGTGGTCCCAGAGCCTAACCTGACGGGACGTTCCTCTTCTGCCCACCCTCCATGCCCACGCACTCCAAGGCAGGATACTCACTAAAGCTAACAGAACTGGCGAGACTTCCATCCTTGTTGGGTGGCTTCGGAGGGAGGGTACCAGCGCATCTAGAAGAGAAGGGCAGGTGTGACCAGGGAAGAGCCGGTGGGCGTATTCCGTGCAGGCACCCTCGGAGCGCCTGCGCAGTCTCCCCGGGATCCTTCTCCCCTCCAGGCGGCCAGCCAACACGCCTCACTCGCATCTCCAGCTGCCTTCTGCACAGTGAGCCAGGGAGGAGCACCTGGGCAACCCCACGCCTGTCACTTTGCCCAAAGCCCCTCTTTGCCCATCAGCACGTGCCACCAAAGCTTTTCTCACCACAGATTCTGGACTGGCAGGAAGAAGCCTTGCCTTTTATTTCTTTGTTTGGTTTTGTTTAAGTACTCCGGCCATTTTAAACAGACGGATGGCAGAATTTTAGGTTGCATCATTACATGTCATCACAGCCATCTCAAGTTGCACCGACAATGGCTCTTTTTCATGCAGCCCCAGAGCGCGCCATGGCCTGCTCCTCTGGCCCCGTCTGTTATGCGGCCCAATTAGGATTCCACTGCCCAATTACTCCGAGTGCTGTTGTCGTAAATGGCTTGCAACATCCTTCCACCTTGGTGCTGGTGCTCCCCGCTTTTAATTTAAGTACACTGTGAGTAAATCCAGACATTTTCCACAAAGCACATCACTAGATGGAACAAGGGAAGGCATTGATTGAGTACTACATTACCTTGAAAGGGTTTTTTTTTTTTAATGCTGACAGTTTCTTACGAGGGTATCACGGTACATTAAAGTTTTGGCAAATTAAAGAACATCCAATAAAGCATGGTAAATCGAAACAGTCCTATCGCTCCCGGCATTTCCCAGACAGCTGTGCTAGCTAGGTAATCCTGGGAGCTGCAGGGTCTGTTTTTCTGTTTGCACAGGACTGCACCCTAAGCTTATCAGGGCTGATGCCCCATCACCTCCAAGTGACCCAGCCTCAATTCAGATCAATGCTTTTTTTTTGACAAGCACCTGAAAGTTCATTTTGAAATCTCGCATATTATCTTCTACTGTACTTCCTTCTTTTTCACGCTCTCCAGCCTCACCTTTTGCAGATTCCACATCCATTTTACCTATGCTGACACAGGCCCCGGCATTTCCAGAGGTGGTCCTTTTCCAGTCCATGTCCCTGGTAAGCGATTGTTCTGGCTTTACCCTTTTGTCAGCATGAGCACTTTCTCCCTCTCGCCAACGTCCCACATAACTATCTACTCACAGTCAGTGGTGCTGGCAGTGTTTGAACTGCAGCTATAAGTACACTCAAATACATTGTCAGATTTGAAATGCAAGTTATCTAATACAATTACTAATCTGTTTCAGCAGCAAGTGCAGAACAGACTGTTTCAGGCAGATGAAAGATCCTGTGGCAATATGCAAGAGAGACAGACAGGCAGCGGTCTCTGGGCTAACAGAATAGAACCTACCCGACTGTCCCTATTTATGCTTATGAAAAGCTGGAAGGTATTGGGTTAGAGGGAGGGAGGGAGGGAGGGAGGGAGGGAGAAGGGGACTTGTATTTGCTTCTAAAAGCTAATCTCACAACACACACACACCCACTCTCATTCATTCATTCATTCATTCCATATCTATACTGCCCAAGAGCCAAAGCTCTCTGAGTAGCTCACAATAACCATAAATTACAACATGATAAAAATAAAGCATAAGTTTTTTAAAACTACAGTCTAAAACAAAATGTAAGATTCAAGTAAAACTTAGCAGCAATGCAGATTAAAATACAACAATAGATCTGAAACGAACTGAAAGACTAAACTAAGAAGGCTTCACCTGGTGCTTAAAAAAAAGCACTAGGCAGGGGCCAGGTGAGCCTCTGCAGGAAGCTCCTTCCACAGCCAGCGCCACAACGGAAAAGTCCCTTCTTAGGATCTCGCTTCCTTTGGCGGGGTTTCCAAGAAGGCCTGAGGATTTGCTTACTGCAACATGATTTATCTTTTTACTGCACGAGGCACCAAGAAAAGCCCCTTCAGGAGGTAGGAAGGAAACGGGGAGGAGAAAGAGACGAGACAAAGGAAAGCTTGGCAGAAGGGACATGGGGTTAGACTGGAGGCACAACACTCCTTTTCTGTGAATGTGAAAAGATCTATAGAAGTGGATCTGCATCAAGCGGGGGGGGGGGGGGAGCCCTGCAGGCCACTATCCCACTTGATGCAGGAAGTCCGACCTGCAGCAGAGGGCTGAGGAGATGGCTGCCCAGCTGCTCCCTGAGGTCCTCCAGAGATGGACAGTCCAAAAGGACAGCCTAAGAAAAAGAGCCACCTCACAAGGAGCGGCTCCCTGCAACACTGTGCCCTCCAGATGTTCTGCCCTCTACATGTCTGGAGCCATTAATTTCAGTGGGCTGCTCCCACCATGGCAATGCCCGGGTCTGACTCCTTGCAAGGTATGAGCAGAGGAAATAAAGATTTTGCCTTATGCAGCTCCACATGGAGTGAGTGATGGGGAAAGACAGGAGGGTTGAGAGAGGAAGTCCGTGCACAGGGAACACCCCCCTGCCCATTTCTGTGGTGAAGGATGCTTACAGTGCAACGGGAGCGACATCCAGAAATACCCTGGAAGAAAAGGCTTGAGTTGCCTTCTCTGGCCGTGGGCCGGAGCCTCAACGGATTCCTTGCTGAAGGAGTTGCCACGAGGGATTCCGGTGTCTTACACAGACGCTGCTAGGAAGGGTCCGTCCCTTTGCAATGGAGTCTCCGGCGTGATTGGGACTTTTCAGAAGTCAGCCCTGACCAACATCAGGAACGCTGGAAGGTTCAGCCCCTTGGCCCATCTAGCCAGTACTGGAAACACTGACTGGCAGTGGCTCGCCAGGGTCCATGCAGCAGTTTTTCTCGCCCAGCTGAAGCTGTCGGGGATTGAACGTGGGACCATTCACGTGCTAAGCCGGGGCCATGGAGCCGAGCCACTGCCAGACACCGAGATGGCTTTCTCCCTGGGACTCTCAGGTCCATGGCTTCGGGCTGGTGTTCTGCCACTTGCTGGGAGCGCCTATCATGCTCTGTTTCTCGTATCGCCTTCTCCTGCGAGCTGCATTCAGTTATCACACCTGATAACCGCCAGGACTGCCGTGGCTTGCAGTTGCTCCCTCCCTCCGTCCCTTCGCACCGTCCCTCCACCCCACTGTTCCACGCTGTGGGTAATGAGCCCGGATTCCTGGATGTGTCTCCCCCGCACATCTGGAATTAGTTTTGTCCTTGCTGCTCAACAGCTGAGCGTGAGCAGGAAACCCCCCTCGCCAGGGTGAGCCGTGCTCTCTAACCCTGGAACGAGAAGCCTTCGCACCCGAGGAAGCACGGCTCGTCCTCAAGGCCGAGCACGTCCCTCGAGCTGCACTCGCGGCTCGGCGGCAGAGCAGGAGCCTGGCATCAGCACTTGCTCCCCAGGCAGCCACTCCCAGGTGCACCACCGAGCTTACCTGGCGGGTGCCACTCAAAGACGCTTCTCTGCAGAGCACTCCTGCAGCCAAGCACTCTGAAGCACTCTTGCATGGTTAGGAGGGCGACCACATTGTCAGGAACCTCTTGTTTCGTTACATTTGCACGACACAAACAGCCCAGAAGAAGCATTTCCCCCACTCCATGAGGGGAAGCCTCTTAAGATGACAGTCGCCTTCCTGTACTGGATTTATTTAAAATTTCTGGATCCCGCCCTTTACAGTGTCTCACTTTGTATGAGCCATTGCATTAAAGAAAAATTAACGGACTGCTGCACAATTACGGGGTTTTTTTGTTCTGACACTGAAACCAGAACCACCATCAGCCTCCAGGACCCTCCTCAGCTAGAGGCCATATGAGGGGAGAGCCCATTAGAGCCGGAGGCCTGAATCGTTTGTCTGGCACCCCGTATCTCTGGGAGACCATCTGCCCCACCGCCCTGCTGAAACAAAGCTGCAGGAGCCCTAACAATCTCTGTTGCGCTCGGGCTCCCACACCAGCTGGCTTTTGGCCCACCTCTGCATCACCTCCTGCTGCCCCCTCCTCACTCCCAGCCTGAATCTCTTTGCTTAAGGCTCGTTTCCATGCCCTCTTTCCCCTGTCTGCGTGTCCCCTTTGACAATCAAGGTGTCCTTAGGAGACAGGGTCTTTTAGAAACACACTCAGGCCTCAGGGAATACATAAATTAGCATCTGCAAATGCCTGCATGTTTGGTCCCATGGGCCTGATTCCCAGCCCTTTTCGATGCTCAGCACCACCCCTGTCCTCTGTTAAGTTTCCCTGCCCTACAGGTAATCGATACATACGGTTAGCAATACTAGCAGACTGAAGTGAAGCAGGAAAAGGAAACCAGACTTATCAAAAATAACCAGGGCTCTACTATTTTGTAAGGAAGCAGATAGAGGGAAAGAGAGACAGGGAGAGTGAAGGAGAATTTTCCAGGCTCCGGTAAAGGAAGGGTGTTGCCTTCCTTAACAAGGCCAGCAGTGTAACTGAAGTGTGCCAGTTGACTGTGCGGGAAAAATTAAATCCGTGTGTGTGTGCGTGCGTGCGTGTGTGCTGTCGCTACCACTACTACAAGCTCTCCCCCTCCCACCACGTGACTGTGGTGAGTGCAACAAGGTGGTGGGAGCTACGCCCAACAGCACCACGTGGCAGGGGTCCCTCGGCGAGGTCCCTCCCCTCCCACGGCAGGACCAAATCCATCGCTGCTCGGTGGGAGCGCTCTGAACACGAGAGGTGCCATGCTGTGGAGCCATTTCAGGTGTGCCGAGTCGGCAGGAGGTGGGTTAGAGAAACGCCTGGCCTTTCGTCTTGCCCGGGCTTCGGTGGGTGGATAGCGTGGAGGCCCATGCACTGGGTTGCCGAGGAAGAGATGGGCAAAACAAGAAAAAGCTTGTGGGGAAAGCCCATGGTGCCCCGAATGGCAGAGAGACGTCTCGTTACCTTACCAGCCTTTCCAGACCATCCTTAAAGGCTTCTAGGAATGAAGCTGCTGTACAGCCAACTGCACTCTAGCAGGGAGGTTCAGGGTGTCCCGCACCTCCAGGGCTAGCCTGTGTAGGCATCCTGGCTGCAGGTCACTGAGGACATCAAAGGAGGGATCGTTTTAGCCACCAGCTGGGCACTGTGGCACCCCTTGGGGGCAAGAGGCATTCCACGGGCACCTGCCATACACAGGACAGCCTGCTGCATCGAGGAGAACTCCAGACCAAGAGTGGCGGAAGGCGCTGACGCTCGGCGGCAAACACGGAACCTGTACCGCTGCTCAGGCTCCTGGGAAGCCCTTCCTTCAGCTGCATGGAGAAGAACGTGGACCTTCCTCGCTCAGTCATTTGTCAGCTGATTCAGTCAAGGGGTTACTTTTCAGAAGAGAAACACTGATTCTGCAGATGTTTCTGCTTCCCTTCGTGCCTTAGGACAAGCGGCTTCGGCATTGCCACTTCTCGCTTCAGTCTGTCTCACCACCACTTCTAACTACGGTTCCGCTGAACATACTTTCTTGGGAGCTGCCTAAAAGGCAACCATGCTCCCGTGAACTTCTTTGCCCTCAGCAGAAGCAGGCAGGCAATTCTGATGGCCTGCACAACACTGCAACATCACAATATCACTCTATTCATGACAGGGCCCCCATTTAGTTGGGCCTTCCCATGTGGCTAAGGGGGGAAGACAACTCCAGGGTTGGAAAAAACTGCCACATGCATGAGAGCAAAGACTGACGATGCAGTTCTCCCCCCTCCCCCCCGATCTAAAAGAACGTAAGAGTAAAGTGGCAGCCCAATGGGGCAAAACCAAATGGTGATGCGAGGAAGGCTGCCTTGGTTGGTCTCATTTAGTTCTGTTGCACCATGAAGAGCCTCATGTAGCGGCGTTAGCCTTGAGGATACTGTGAATAAGAACTCCAAATCCCTCCTCCAAAACTCAGCATCACGGGTCTCCTAGCCTGGCACTAACACACTAGACTTCTAGCCTATGTTTTGGGCGGAGGTTTGAGCTGCCTGGTTGCTTAGAAAGGAGGGTGAAGTAATGTTTAACTCTATAAAAACTTTATTAGTGACACATTCATTTGTTTTACAGAAAAAGCATACAGAGTTCAGCCTGGGGAACAGTCTCTCCGAGAGAACTGTAAACCAAAACCACGTGCCTCAGCTTCCGTACTCTCTGCCTGCACAATCCACCTCATGCAGCCAAACACATTCAGCCAAGGCCACTGTACATTTAACATACTTGGTGTGCAAGCACACCCATCGGCAGCACAGGCAAATGTGAGAAAACAGGAGGTGTGTGTGCGTAAGGGGAATCTGAAGGGATGGGCCGGACACTCAAGGTACCCTCGCTGCCCTCCAGTTTGTTTATGAGCCACTTTCACAAGAAAAGGCTTGGTCCCTGCGCAACTGAAGCAATACAATCAGCTGGACATATTCGTTTAGACTGGAATTTGTATATTAGGGTTTTTCCTATGCTCATAATTCCCTACTTCCAGCTGTTTATAGGTTTTTGTGATGATACAGTGAGACTCCAGTCTCACATGTGCACCTAATTAGCACGTTCAGCTAGTTCTTTTAGAGTGGGGAAATGTGGTATTTCATTGGAAAAGTGAGAGAGTGCAATTTTTCTACTTGCATGTGCATGCTATTCTGCTACAGCACTGTGCCACCTAGAGGTCACATAGCAGAAAAGCAGGAAAGGAACCTAGTCTCAGTTGCAGACTAGAGTGAATTAACACCCTCTTGTAGAGAGCAGCTCAGAATCTCCAAGTGTGACAGCTTTCCTCGCTTCAGTTCTTTCCCAGTCTAGGTGGTATCTCCTTTTCAAAAGAAGCCGGCACGAGCATTCTTTCTTCTTCTGCATCAAAGCTGCACTCAGTGATCAAACCCTCCAATTCCAGCCTCCTCCACTGCAGCACCCTCTACAACTGCTGGACTACAACTCAACCATCCCCAAATGGCCCTGCTGCCCAGTGCTGATGTGAGAGCTGCAATCCATCCCATCTGAAGAGCACAAGGCTGGGGGAAGTCTGGCCTCTTCTGATACGTTTATCTTTATCTTTTTTCGTCCCTCCGTTCATCGAATGGGCAAATTCATTCTACCTTCTCCCTCCAGCCAGGACAGCGCAGCTTCTCCTCTGAGCTTTCTCTTCGCGCCTGAATCTCTGAGCTAGTTTCCCTACCAGCCAGCAGGACGGGCAGAGGGGAAATTGGCACCCTTTGTGAAGGGGAGCCAGGCTTTGATCCAGATGCTTCTCGAAACAGTGACTGTCGGGCTGGAATGTAAGCCACTCCAGAGTGACAGACGGAACAGCTGAGCTGCTCAACATGCTGCCCATCTCCGCAAGAGCTCCACCCGGGAGAAGGAAACGCGGCATGGTTCAGTTCGGCAACCGAGAGCACCGGACACTTGCAGGGGGCGGGGGAAGCTCCCTGCCCATCCAGGAAGGAGAGGCTGGCACGACGACTCACCTGGGCATGAAGGGCGGCAGCAGCGGCGGCGGCAGCTGGATAGGTGAAAGCAGCATGTGGGATTGCAGGGGTGAGCTCAGTGGAGTACAGTGGGTAGGGGGCCCACGCCTCTGGCGACGCTGGGATCAGGGCTGCGCCAGTCAGGTCATCTAGTCACGGGAAGAGCGACAGGTCGGCCAGAGCCCCAGTGGGGAGGGGGCCGAGAGGGGCTCTGCACTGCCCCGGCAGCTGGGGCCCGGGAGCACGGGCGTGCCTCCCAGCCTCCAGTTGGGTGGGGATGGCACCTCCCGTTCCTTCCCGCCAGCTGCAGATGCTGGAACCTGCACTCCCAAAACATCTGGAGAGCATCAGGCTGGGAAAAGATGGCTCTTTGTCACACGGGGCAGCAGCAATGCTTGCTGGGAGAACACTGCCTCCTGGGCACAGGAAAGCACCCCATCCAGACCTCACGTGCCCATTCACACACGCCTTTGTGCCAGGAGCCCGTCTGATACCAGGGGCTCCCATCCCGCCGTGCCCATTCCATGGCCAGAGCCAAGAGGGAGCGGCCCTCACCCCCTTCACTGCATGACCTCCGACCGTGGCCAAACGAGGGAGGGGTCCAGCACTCCCAGGCCTCCCACCTCTTCTGTTCCGCTGGAGCCAGCAGCAGACTCCCAGTAAGGTGGCTTCCCTCACATGCACTTTACTGCTCCCTACCCATCCACGTGCCTACTAACAAACGCGACACAAGGCGTGGCCCCCAGGGGCCCCTCGGCCGCTGCTGCTGCTGCCCACAACCATCTGGAGAACCACTGGCTGTCATGCGTGAAGCAGAAAGGGGCATCCCGGCTAACCCCCCCCCCCATGATCCCTGTTTCCCCGCAGCCCCCAGGACTTCTCACAAGGGTCCCGTGCGATGAAATGTGCTCCCAGGGCAGGGTGCAGGTTGGTGGGGTTTGGTGTGGCCATCAGCTTGCTTTTCGCCATCTTGGTGTTAGCTTTGGCAAACTCTAACCGCAGCGTCTGGGGATTCTCCGGGTCAAAGCGGATACCCTGCAGCAGAACAGGTGGGGAGAACGGATCACAAGGACAGAATAAAAAAGGCACAGTCTGTCTCAGGAAGCACTTATGCTGGCTGAAGAGTTGGGTACAAAAAGTTGTGGAATAAATCTGTACCATCTTACTCCCTGCAAGATCTGGACCCCCAAAAGCGAACACTTCTCCACACTACACTGACTCTGCATGCAGCTTTCGGAGGATCCCCCCACCCCCCAGTACATGATCCAGTCCGTCCCACTACCTCTTTCCACTGATTGCTTGAATTCAGCCACCAGTGAAGAGAGCACATGCCACATGGGGAGGGCAATTCACAAACAGGGAAGGCAACAATACAATTGTTTTGGCAGCAGGGGCTTGGGTGGCACCGTCTCTTTATTTGCTCCAATGTGCTGGTTCTGTCCACGAGAAGTTGAGGCTGGCTCTGCCAGTCAACTGATCCTCAGAAGGAGCCTTGGCGCCACCTCCATGCATTGCTTCTGGTTTTAAAGTTAGAGGGACAGAGGTCTGGTAAGCTGCACAACTGCTCACGCAACAGTCTTTAAGGGGCTGAGATCACCGTCGCCTGCAACTCTGGAAGGGGCACAAGCGTGATTTTGGAAGCAGCATTTAATTCGCTGGCATGGATGTGCACTTAAGCTGCGAAGCCACCCTTGCTCGCGGGGGCTTTTTAGAGAACATTTGCCTTCAGTCCGTGAAGATTTTTTAGATTATGTCTGTCTTCGGAAGTGAGACTGAAAGGCCTGCATGGCTGAACATTAATGATAAATACAAAACTGGACGTGTATCATTTTTAGCTTTGACAGGCAGCCTTAGAGGGCCAGATCCCCATTCTCCCTGGGGCTGCAGCAGGCAAACTGTCCCCTTGCTTGACCACTCGGAGCCATAACCTTCGTAACCATTTTGGAACAGGGCATCCCGCTTGCTTCTGCTTAGCGTGTGCAGAGGCTGCAGGAAGGAGTCTCTCCCCAAAAGCACACGGCGTAGTTGCCAGTGGGCTGCCAGGAAGGAAGACTTGCGTGCCAGAGGGGGCCTCGACTTTCTCTGGAAGGGCACAAAGCACATGGCAGGTGTCTCATCTGAGCTTCGCTGGTCCAGTGCCAGGAGCTGCAGGACAGAGGACCAGTGCCCTGGGCTGAGTTCTCACCCCGCAGACGAGGTTTACTTGAGCATGATCCTGCCGAGTGGGAAGGCCACCCGTGTGCGTTTGAAGGGGACTGGCGAGCGGCAGCGCTTACATTCAACGAGCTACAGGTGGGAGGGGAAGGAGCCCCATCCTGGGCCCAAGGCAGCCTGCACTGCAAGCGCAGTCGCTGCAGGGCCCTCGATACTCACGTTCAAAGCGTTCTTTGCAGCTTCTGCACCAGACCGGCTGTCGAAGGTAACAAAGCCTACCGGCTGAGGAGAAAAAGACAATGCTTGAGCTGCGCAGGCACTTATGCTCCAGCCAGGATGCTAAGCAGATCGGGGAGCGGGGGGGGGGGGCTCATCCGAAGACTCCCCTTCCAGCCCCGCTTGCAGACACGCAAGAAAGGGAGCCGACCCCGGAAGTCCCTCTGTACCTTCAGGCTCACCATGCTCCCATTTCCATGACCACCCCAACCTATCACCCCCACCCTTCCTTCTGCCCTGAGCAGCGGAGGAGGCAGTCTGCTCGCTTTGGGCCCAGCTGGCAGGCCTGGCATATGCTGAAGGTAGCACCGCAGGAGGAACCCACTGCAAAGACTCCGCTGGGGTCCCTTCTCTCCTTCACCCTTCCACCCCGCTTCTGCACGTGTCCCTCGGTCTGGCCCAGGCACTGGCAGTGGCAAGGTGGCCAAGAACGCTGCCCGTGTGCTCACAAGTGGGGCCGAGAGCGCGTGAGGAGAAACTGCAGCTGGCAGCCCCACCAAGGAGAAAGCAGAGTCAGAGCAGAGGGGGCTGCTGCTGAGGCCTCGCTCCAGGGCTGCCAAAAAACCAGGGCTGGCGTTGTCCAAAAGGCTTCTTATTATGCTGTGCAGAAATGCTGGCAGTGCCAGCCAGCGCCTGTGTCGGGACAGGCTGATCTGGCTGCATGTCCCCCAGGCAGGGGCTCCAGAAGGGCTAGCAGAGGCATCCACCCTAACGGAGTATCTGTCAGTGCCCCTCCCGTTCCTGCAACCCCGGGCTAGGAACCACCTGCCCCCCCCTTCTAATTAGGGCATCTGAGTTTCAACTGAAGGAGTTAAGAGCAAAATTGGGCAGCTGCCAGGATGGGGCGGACGGAGGCATTACCTGTTTTGATGTTAGTTTGATCAGTGACCCTTCATAACCCTGGAGAGAGAGAAGCCAGTAAGTTGGTTATTGGGCTCCTTAAAAGGAAAGAAAAGTCTGCATGGCCAGCCCAGTGCCCTTAAAACAGCTCATCCGAGTGCCAGAAATACTTCTGCAGCCCTCCGGAGCAAGTCAGACGAAGATACAGCCGCACGGTGGCAACACCCCCGCCTCCGCCCCACCGATGGGGCCACTCAGCCACTGCCCACCCCCGCCTTCCACGGTGCAAGGCCACCGGCTCGCCTGCCCCAGCACGGCACTGGGATTGGGAACACTTTTTGCAAGGTCTCCCACAGAAGTTTCTCCCAGTCCCGTGGAGGACAAGCAGGCAACTGCCGAGGCCGAGAGATGGACCTGGGGTTGCTCCATGTGTAGAGGGGGCAGTGTGTGAGCAGCTCCCCCTTCCCCAGCAGGAGACTGGAGGAGTGGGAAAGTTTAGATCTCGGTCTGGCACAGTCAGTGCAAAACCCCAGACGAAGGGCTGGTACTCGGGCTGGGAGGGTCCAGCGCTAAAGCCCTGCTCAGTCCTGAGCTCAGAGAAAGCTGGCTGGCTACTCTGAGCCCAACTCCGGCCACAGAGCTGTGAAAGGATCGGGCCTTCCTTTCAGCCAGAGGCCGCCTTCTCCCAGCACCCACCTAAACGCAAAGGTGACTGAAGAGTATCGAAGATTGCCTGATAAACAGATGAAGGAACCTGGCATGTGGCAACTCACACGACTGGGCCAGCTAGCCCAGAGCCACCTCCACTGACTTGGCAATGGTTCTGCAGGGCTTCCCCACAAGGTTTGTGCCTCAGCCCCTCCTGGGGATGCCGGGCTCCGAGCAAAGCCCTTCCACATGCAAAGCCTGTGCACTGAGATGCCCCTTTCCTCGCAGGACCCCACGAGCAGAGGGACAGTGTCCCTTCGGCAGCCACTCACCTTGAATGGCCGGAAAAGCAGGTAAAGCTCCCTGGGCTTGATGTCCACAGGAAGACCACTGACAAAAAGTGTCCGGACCTGGGGAAGAGGGAACAAGGCCAAGCAGGTTGAGAGACTGCAATGCTGCAGGACTGGTCATATTAGTCGCCTTGGTGTTTGGCCACCTTCAAGGACACAAGAAAAGCCATGCTGGACCAGGCCAAAGCTCCATCCGGCCCAGCATTCCGCACTCGCAGCAGCAACCGGCAGTCAAAGGACTGCTCGAGCACGATGAGAGCCACACCTCCGCCTACCCAAACTTCTCACCAGCTGGCATGTGCAGGCAGGCCGCTACTGGTGACGGTGGTCGTACGTAGCCAGTGATGTGGGCGGCCGACTCTATTCACGGATGCCTGCAAAGTTTCAGGGACCAGCTCTCATGGAAGGAGGGGTGTGGGAGTCCGCGCAAGAGTGAAGACAAAATCTAGCACCTTATTTCAGCAGTGGTCATCCAGATACCTCCAGGAAGACCAGCGCTATCCAACAGCACTCCTTTCATGCAGCCCATCATCTGCTGACACGAGCCACAATGCTTGAGCGTTTCATCCAACGATCAAGCTTATTCTGCAATTGCTGTTTTGAATGCATGTTTTATTGTTCTGATCCATTTTAACTGGCCTGCAATTGCTCCAAGTGCTGTTTTTGTGGAAAGGCAGTGTCTGAATCAAGTAAGTTAATAAACATGACGACTCTCCATTGCTGAGCTTCTTTAAGAGTGAGACTGGTGCCAAGCCAGGCCTTACTTGGCCTGGGTGCTGCAGCAGATAGAATTAGAAACGTGCCCCCCTTGCATCCCCTCTGGAGAAAGCCTCACGCTTAGCATACAAACCATACCTTCATGGGTAACTACATCACTGCCAGACCCGCACTGCAAAGACCAGGGAGCCTGAGCATCCCCTGGGGCTTCGAGGGCCAAGGATGCTCTCTAAATGCCACCAAGCAACCTGCCCTGACCGGCACCCTCCATATAGTTTGGACTACACAGTCCAAATGCAGAGACCCAGTATTCCTAATGATTGCCCACAATGCTGCAGCTGATGGGAGCTGGTCCAACTATTTAGAGGGCATCAGGCTGAAGGGGGCTGCCATGGAGCAAAGCAAGCCGTTACCATGCACTCTTGTGCGAGTGAGTCAACATCCAGCCTCTGTTAATGCAGATCACCACAAAGATCTAGCAGAACACCAGAGATTTTGCCAAAGCACTCTTATTTTATTTATGTAATGGACGTATATGCCGCTAAAATAGCCCATATCCGGGCTCCCTGTGTGGCTTAGCATGATTAAGCAGCTTTGACTTGAAGAAAGGGCCAGGATGCCCTCGGGGCCTGAAAGATGGGGCAGGCAGTCCTCTCCCGTGGGGTCCCATCCAGGACAGGGCTTGGGCACAGCTGGCATGAGCCGCTCCCGGATGTGGTGCGTCGAGGCCTCACTGCTGCCCTTCTCCAAAGGAGTCTGTCGGGCCTATCCCAGAACATGGGATAAGATGCAGCTGGAGTCATTTGACGTGAGCCAGATGGAATGCTGGGCTGCATCAGGCAGCTTTAAACACCCGGACTTATAAGGCTCTGCACAGTATCAAAACACAGAGAGAGCTTGCAAAACAAAGTTGTAGGAAGGGAACATTTGGAACCTTCAAAAACCAGAGATTAGCTGCTGACAGTGTATTTCTCAATTGCTAGTCCCAAAGAGTGCAGAAGACTCATTAAGCCTCATATTCATGGTGGAATCAGCCCCCTGTCTAGCTATTAATCAAAAGGAGCTGGATCTCAGAAAAAGTGGGAAACGGGAAGAGCAGGATGACTGAGCAAAGGTTTGGCGTCTACTTAGTAGACCATTTTTACTATCAACTCACCAAGCATTTTGTAGGTGACCAAAGAAACTGAACCCTGAGGTACCGCAGATTGATTGGTACTATTAAGGTCTAAAGTGGTTCACAACATCCACTATACTTAATTTTTCCTGTATGCTCATTCTTATTACATCCTGATCTGTGATGCAGAATACAGTCTTTTTTACTTTACATTTTGGCACATTTATTTTATCAATGGTTCTGAGTACTGAGTTTACTCCATCACATTCTGCAAGTGCAAAGAGATTTATGAAAATATTGTTATTGTTTAAGTGATAACAGCCAGCACACTTCCAAACTTCAGGGCTCTAAATGTCTTCTAACTCATTCAATAAGGGCAGCAATTGAGTTCTCCTGAACCACTTCTCCCGTCCCCAGCAAAGTCGCCTGCCAAGGCTGTCAAGAAGCCATCTGCAGCCTGGGCCACTTCCCCTCTGGCCAGCCTGATAACAAAGCCAAAGGGCTAAACTCTCCCAAGCAGGGGGATACTGTCATCACCTTCCACAACAGAGCCATGCGCATCTTAGAGCAGCCTTCCCCAGCCTTCAGAAGCATTTGGACCGCAACCCCCAGAATTTTCATCCAGCCATTGACTGGGAATTCTGGGTGTTGCAGTCCAAACACAACCAAAGGCACAAGGTTGGGGAAGGCTGTCTTAGCGAAAACCTCACGCTTATTTGCATCCATTAATTTTGATCAGCCTGTTAGCACACATCTGGGGAGCATTACATTGCTTACCAATGAGCTGAGGGCTTTCCTGCTGCCACCTGCAAGACTAGAGGAGCACGCCGCTGCTGCACAAGCACTCCATTGCCCTACCTGAAGGAAGCAGTGGCTGCTGGGACTGCGACTCTCGACAGACTGTATGCGCCCAGACCAGGCACTACTGACTTGCTTATTCGAGCACTCCAGCTAGGGGGTAGTGCACCACGGTCCCCCGTCCAGGCAGACACCACTCACTCAGTTGGACTGATGGCATCGCCTGGTGTAAGGCACCTCCCTCTCTTCCCAGCGTCTTCGCTGCACTGCAACGCAGGGGTATGGTTGCTGCATGGATGCACAGGTGCTGCTAGTGGAGAAAGGGGAGGGAGCGCCCAAACAGCAGCAGCAGCGAAAGGCGAGAGCGCCGACGGTTTGCAAGCTGGGCGTTAGGCGAGAGGCTTCAGCGCGGCCCATTAAATATCACTGAACTGAAAGGCCGATATGAGAGGTGTCAAGCTTGGCTAAGTGGGTACAGGACTGACTCCTCAGGGGATGCAAGACTGGGGAGGGGAGGCAGTCAAGTTCAGCAAGGAGGCTGCTTGCCACCAGGAAACCACCAACGGTGCTCGAAACCTCATTGCTGAAGGACAAACCAGGCCCATCCTGTACAAATTTCACCAGCCAGAACAAGAATTTCCCATAACCCAACATTTTATGCTCCCAGTGCTCTGGGTCGGTGCTAACACAAGTGCCGTTTGTCTCCTTTTAGACCACGGTCGGATCCTCAGGGGAAGCAGCCCAGCTTTCAGCCTTTCCGCCTGTTCTGAGGAGAAGGGCAAGCCTAGCACTCATGCCTAGTGACTCTGGCTAAGACAGGCAGGAAGACAACACTCCAGGCAACCCGGAACAACACTGGTCCTTGCCTGGAGCAACAGGAACCACAAGGACCAAGATACCGTACGGTTGGAGCTGCCTGAATTTAGGGCCAGAAATGCATGCTGCGCTGCACCAACAAACTCAACTCTTGGGCTCGCATGAGGGTTATATGGGCAAAGGGCAAGTGTTTGCTTTCTCAAAACCAAGCTTGCCCAACAACAACAACAAAGGAGCATTATTATTATATCTATAAACATAGCTATATTAGTGCAGTAAGGGATGACAGGTGGCTACAACAACAGAAGATGGCTTTTGGCTGTGGAAAAGCAGATACGTTGGGGTGGAAGGTGCAACACCAGGAAGGGCCAGAACAAATGTCTTGTTAGTTGCGCAGAGCCCAGTAAGAAAGGCACTGCCCATCGCGGCCCAAGCCATCTGCAGCTTTCTACTTCACGAATGCCTCACTAGCCTTTTTGCAGCCAGACCACTTAGGGCAGTTGGGGACAGGGGTGAGAAGACCCCAGTGCACTGGGCCATTATCCCAGTGAAGTGGCAGAACCCTGCCTGTGTGAAGGCAGGCATGTGTGAATGGAAAAAAATTAATTGAATATCTACTCCCACCTTTCTATCAAAAATGGCACTCAAGGCAGCTTACAAGTCAAATTTAAAACAGTAAAATAATAAAAAATAATATACAAGAGAAACCTAATTACAGACTAAAAATCAGCAGATCCCAAGTCTGATTCAACATGACTGATGTTCTTATGACCAAGGATTCTCGCTTGGGTGGTGCAAGGAAATGGAACCGGTTATGTAAGGATATCAGCCCATAATGAACGCACTTCGACATGTCCGCATATCGCTGCTTCAGTACTAGGAAGAGTTGTCCAAGATGTGGGATGAAGGCATTTGGATCACATTGTCTGCAGTGGAGATTTGATCCAACACAATTCAGACAGATGAGCTCAAGTTAAGTTTGTGTTCGCCAAGTATTTCAGACATTTTGCAGTGCTGCTCCGCAGAAACCTTATAATGCAAAAACATTTCTTAAGAAGCAAAGATCCAGTTCAAGAATAGCCATTAGTTTATTTAAGCAGGTTCCATGCCTACTTGTGCTCTCTATAACACTTGAACATTTCTAACAGCCTGTTCTAATCTGCTAAATTCCAACACACCTTGAAGACCACTTCCATTATGAGGAACACATTGAGGGTGGGAAGGGGGGAGGTCAGGAAAAGTTGTTCTATAAGGTTGACCTCCTTTCCATCTAAAAAACCCCCAACATACAGCTTGTTCTGTAACATCATATATCCAACAATCCCCTTTACTCCCAAATGATCCTCAACTCCCAGAGCAAGCCACATTGGGCGAATTTTGTATGTGTAATATTTGGAACCTGTAGCCTAGAACAGTTGATCCACACAGAAGATAGAAGTGGAGTTTTGCTATCAAGTCTGTTTCATTTCTATATTGCCCAATGGCCAAAGCTTTCTTGGTGGTTCAATAGAATACCATGCAATCTCATCTCATCAAAATATAAATACTTTAAAATGAAAAAAAAAATCAAGAACACTTTACGTCTCCAGTGTTTCTCTTCTTCCGATGGAAGCCA